GTAATCAGCATTTGATTTGAATATGAACAGTGGTTGTGTTATTGGTTACAAGAGGATTTGCTACTCATCTGTAGTTTTCTTTACAAGGTTATGCTTTGTTTATGAACTTTCTTACTCAGGCAATTCTATAACATGAAACAAAAACAAAAAGTTCTGTTATAGCTCATTTTTATATAAACCAAAAAAAAATCATGTACTTACCTGACATTTTCTATTTATGGAGAATGGTGGATCATATAATTCGTAATTGTACAAAGTATATTCTATTACTATAGTTGGGTCCTTAAATTCAGATTTACTGGAAGGGGAACATGATTATCTACGGTATATTTTTAACTTGTAAACATCAACATTAATGTATTAGCAGGCAAATGTCATTAGAAACCGGTTTGGCAACATCCATCCATTTCATGCCCAAGTGGACAAATTAGTCCAGGATCAGCTGGTGGTTCTGGGCTGTGAAACAGCAGTACACTCTGGCTGATATTTCGGGTCCTATACGTCTTTCGTTACTTCCACTTTTCACTAAAAGATCAGCAAGCAGCCCCTTCCTCTCCTCTTCTGAGCCCAACCTCTGGTAGGCCTATAAAACAGAGTGGGAATTTATTTGTTTGTGAATTACTCCATACACAAGGTTCATAGGACCCTACTGAGGAACACTTAGATATACCTGCATCAGCAGCTGAGGAGACGAGTAGGCTGCAGTCACAGCAGAGGCCACAGCAGGGCTCACTCTGTTCAGCTGCTGAATCTGTTTGCTCCAAACCTGGATCAGCCCTGAGCCGTCCCTCTCTACCCGAACCCCACTGGCCCATGAACCATCCACACAGAACGGCAGCTCTGCCTGCTCTGTCAGCAGTCTGCAAGGACAGTGAATGACATTAAACCATAATTTATAATTTTAAGTCTAAATCAGCAAGCAAGTATGTTTGGTTTAACAGACCTATAGGGAGTTAGGAATTATCATTATCAGTTAATGTGACAACAATTTGATTCAGTACATACTTGAAAGGGCGTTTTGATAAGGCTTTGGTGACAGCACACACGTGGTTAGTGACCTCCTGCCAGCCATCCAGGAAGACCAGTGAAATATTCTTGCAGAGCTGAAGGTACACAAGAACCTGGACAGACATGGAGACAATACCAAAGAAATCCTTCATCTGCTGTGTTCATTGAACAGCTCTTTTCACAGTTAAGGTCTGAAAGTTATTGAGGTTGTAAGTAAAAAGACCTCCTCGATGTCCAGATTGTCCATCCCCATTTTGAGTTGTAGCATCTCATTTAGTAAATGCTCACCACAAGCATTTATCCTGTTGGTAGGTAAACCAATAAGTCAGATCAGAATGATTATGTGAAAGCAACCACAGGATGATTGTTTGAGTCCAACAAAGATTTAGAATCCACACTGACCTGTAATCTGTCTGAGAGTTTCTGACTAAAAGAGTGGCCACCTTTTGACGATCACTATTGAGATACTCCAAAAGAGGATTGAAGGAAGACCCCTCCCCTTCACTTTCTAGCATCTGCAGTGGCAACAAAATAGAAAATGGAAGTGGACATGAAGTGCAGCATGAGTGTGATTAAACACATACAACAATGTAGTAAAAACAAGAAAACAAAGCCAACAGTGTAGGCTGCCATCAGAATTCAGACAGAGTTGCTTACTTTCTTCACAGAGATCACTATGTCCATGAAGTCATTCAGACCCAGCACCAGAACTATGTGCTCCTCCTCCACAAAGCCTTTGCCATCTCCTCCCTGCTAAAGATAAAACCGTAATGATCCTACTGGGAAAACTGGAAACATTAAGAATACATCAGCATAAATACAGCAAACCAAAATATCACAATTTTCTCATGTGTACAAAATGCATATCACAGGCTTGCAGAAGGGAACATGTAAAGAAGACTGTATTCAAATGACAGATGTAGATACAGTGTACAGAAGACATTCAGATTCAGGCAGGTGCATTACTACAAAGTGTGAGGTGTCTACCTGAGGTAAATCTCTTATCCAGGTGATGCTGTGAGGAAGCTGCTGGCTCTCAATGCTAAACCTCCATTCAAAAGTAACCAGGGTGTCAAGCAAGATGTCTGAGCCATCCTGTTGCAGAAGAGCTGCAGAAAAAAAAACAAAAGCTGGCTTAGATGTAAACAAACTTGTGCATACGCATCGATACAGCCTTTAAGTCATAACCTCGGCAAATTAGAGGTCATCATAAGCACTAGCAAAAGTTGCTGACATGTTGTCCCTGTAAGGTTGATGGAGATAACATTTCAGACAGCACGTGAATGCAGCATGGTCAACCTGTTTACCTGGATCAATGCAGACTGTCAGACACTTGAGGCAGTTTTCCGGCCTGAGACTCTTGAGGTTCTCCGAAGCTTCTCTCCTCTTCTGCTGCTCCTTCCTCTTCTCCTCCTTCTCCTGGGCTCTGGCTGCTCTCTGCCTCTCTCTGGCTTTTTGTCTGTCCGCCTCTATCTCCTCCTTGCTGCGGCGTTGTCTTGCAGAACTTTGTGTGCCAGATCCATGTCGTCGCGGAGGAGATAAAGCAGAAATTTGTCTAGATTTGCTTTTAGTTGCTGGCAAGGTTTTGCATTTGTGATCTGAACTCTGATGCTCTTTCAGGTCTGTGCTGCTTACGGTTACTGACGGACCGGTCTTGTTTAAATCAGAATTTGTCTTAGCGTCGGTTTCGTCCTCAAATTCCGATAGTTCCCATATTTTAGCGCTGTGCAAGCCAGACATTTCATACGTTTAATAAAAACAATCTATGTGAAAACACAGTTTATGAAACACATACTCATCTTAAGAGCATGCAATGGAAGCCACAGATGTAAGAAGGTGGAATGACCGGAAATGTTTATATGGTGTCCGCGGAGGGACAAATGTTCTCAAACGCGCTACGTTTATTCCAATTTTACCCCTTTAACTTCCAAAAAACTTTACAGACAACCCGACTGAAGACTACACAGCCTGCATGCCTTTAATCAAACCAGCAGAAACCAGAATTAGGCCAACCAACACAGGGTGGACTTTAGACCAGCCGATAGGCTACATCTGTTAGTCTTACTGGATTAAATTAGGCCCGATTTAAAATAATAATAATAATAATAATGCAGGTGCAAGAAAGAGGACTTCAAAAACAGTAAACCTAAAGTTTTTGTTGTACTATGTAGGCTAAATAGCAGTATAACTGGATTATTAAACATTTGTTTTGATTTATTTTATTTTGTCAATAAAGTTTCAGCAAAAAGGGTACTTTAACGCGCTGGGAACAGATTTCCAAACCATCCTCTTCGTCCTTACGCAACAGCTGGTCGATCCCTGTAGTTTAAAGATCTGCGTTCCGTGCTAACCCTGCTACACCAGATACACCAGATACACCAGACCGCTCGTGTAAACAGCACTAAGCTAAAGGATGTGATTTGGTAGTTTTCATAATTGTCGTCTCCTTTCTTCACTATGGCGCAGCCGGCGGAGAAAGGCAAGTCTGATTTTTGTATTATTTCTCTCATATTAGCTTCTTAAGTCAGCAAATTTAATGTATCCCTCCATACAGGCTACTTTCCTTAAAAGCTGGGCCACTGAACAACCAACTCAGCATTCTCAGAGCTCATGTGACCAAATGGGTAGCTGTTGATCTGCCGTCTGATGAATATAATAGGAAGATAGCCCTGTTGTATGGCTTCATTTGCTGAAGCATCTACCAGCACAAAGTTAATTCTACATTTCTTTCAGCTTGTTTTGCCATTGTTTGTTTACCACTGCACCGAGCTAAAGGAAATGCATATGAGAGGATATCAACTAACGGATTTTAAGTCCCCTTCAAATAAAAAATGTGCTGTTATTATTGTTACATGACATGTAACTTTAGATATTTGTTAGGTAATTTATTTTTTTTTTAGGTTGGAAACCCGTATCTGACCAACATTAGGCTTATAATTTAAAGCATTTTTTTAAATGTCTTAAATCACAACTGAAACAAAAGTAATTTTAAAGCCAATAACTGAAGTGAGACGTGGCTATATTTTTTATTAAAGTGCTGGCATATGTTATAGTTTGAACATATTCAAAAGGTCGGATATTAATGAGGTTTGAATTGCATTGACATTAACCACCATACTGTCTTTCATTGCTATATGGTGAATTATGGAAGTGTTCAGACATCTTATTCTTTTTGTCCATGTTTTGACTCTCATAGTGAAGTTTAAGTTAAAATAGCCAATCATGCCATTCTTTATCTTACTTTTCCAGCGTATTATCGCTTTGTGGTGCTGTTCTTCAACTGCATGCTGACATTTGGTTCCTACTTCTGCTTTGACATGCCTAGTGTTTTGCAGGATCAGTTCCAAGGGGTAAGTAGGAGCTAAAGATTTGAGGAAACTATCAGAATCAAATTATTTCTCCACATACATAAACTCAATGTGACCATTGTTGTTTGATGTCAAAATTCCAAAGTCAGCCCTCAGTTTGTCAATGGCTGAGAAAATCACTTAAATATTGGCCTTCTCTCATCTGGCAGAATCTGACATGTCCCAATGCAACAGTGATCAATGGGACGGTGGACTGTGTGATGGGGCTGGGGATGAGCCCTGAGCAGTACAACCTTCTCTATGCTATCTATGCTTGGACGTAAGTACAAACATATTGATTCTACTTTACATAGATTGATATTGATTAGAGAGGAGCAGCAGTTGGTGCTTTTCTCTGCGCTCAACAGGAATGCGGTAGTGGTGATAATGGCTGGGTTCCTGATTGACAAATTAGGAAATCGCTGTAAGTTGACCTTATACTTGCAAATCTCATTAAATAAGCTAAAGGCAAAAAAAAAAATCACTGTGAATTGATTTCTGTTTATTGTTCTTTGCAGTTGGGGTGTTTCTCTTCTCTTTCCTGTGTGTTTTGGGCTCATCCCTGTTTGCACTGGGTTCCCACTTCAAAGGAACCCCCTATCTGCTGCCACTGATGCTCACCGGGCGACTGCTGTTTGGATCGGGCAATGGATCTCTGACCAGTAAGTCCACCTTGTACAGTACATTGCAGGGGCTACTCTAAAATACTCAGTTGACAGTACAAAATTAAACGTGCAAAAGAACGGGTGAGCATTCATATTGAAGCTCATTATACAAGTTAAAGGATGTTTAAACACTATTTGGCCTCAAAGAGGGGGTGTCAAGCCATGCTGTCATAAATCTTCACTGCCAATAAGTAACATAATTTTGCAGCCGTGGCCTATCCTTCACACAAAGCAGTGAATCCTACCATTGCCCTAGCTCCAGCTTGTGACTCTCATGTATTACATACACTCAAGTAAGTCACCTAATCTTCCGTTAACCTGTGAAATTGAAACTTGCCAACTGCTTTAATCCTGTACTGATGTTTCATAACACTAACCCAAATTTTGAAGGTATTATACGATCATTATAGACTCCTCTAACAATCAGGAATCAAAAATAATCTGGTCCTGTGCAGGAATTCGTTTTTTTTGGCTATGTCTATTCTTCTCCTTTAAAAAAAAAAAAAGATGGTGACAGAAAATGACATCATCACTCTGACTTTGTGTGAAAGCGGCTCAAATTCATGAATGTATTTAAACAATTCCATTAATAATTTCACTTAATTTTCAAAAATACATTCAATAATACAATGGTAATAATAATATGGATTTCAGCAATACATTCATGTTCAACTTTCACTAATTAAAGTGAGAGAAACTATGTCATTTCCTGTTGCCACCTTTGCTTAATTGGGGGAAAAAAACCTAACCCTAATACCTAACCCTTTATGACCCGAGAAACTGATTAAAATGATATTTTTTCTGGACCTGACTGGATTACTTCTGATTCTGCATCGTCAGAAGAGTCTGCAAGGATTCAGGAAATCCCTTCAGAGTTTGGATGAGTGTTATAAAATGACAGCACGGGGTTAAAACGTTTGGCAAGTCTTAATTTCACACGGTCACTGAAGATGATCTGTGTGACTGGCGTGTGCATAATACATGAGAGTCACAAGTTGGGGCTTCCCTCACCCAAGCAAAGAGCAGATACTGTATGTGACTTGACTCAGAGTATCTGCACTGTATTTGCGCAGACATCCAAGAGCCAGGCCCGCACAAAGTAAATAGCACTTTTAAATCAATCTCTCATGCTTTTCCTTTTAGTTGTTCAGAACCGCATCACAGCTTTCTGGTTCAAAGGGAAGGAGCTGGCCTTGGCCTTTGGGCTGACCCTGGCTTTCTCTCGCCTGGGTTCAGTCCTGAACTTCTTTCTCACCCAGAGATTTGAGGAAAAATATGGCATGCAGTGGACACTTTGGGGTGGTAAGTAAATCTCGAGGTTTATGACATGACATACTAATAACAAAGAGTTATATAAAATAGACCCCTCCGCCCCATGATGCTTTGCTTTCTAGGGGCACTATTATGTGTGTTGGGCTTTTTATCCGCCATCATCGTCAGTGCCTTGGACAAGATTGGAATGAGGCAGCTGGGTCTTGATGGCGCCATCCAAGAGGAGTCCCGCAAAGTGGTATGAACAGTATTAATAGTAATAACCTTTCTCAGCAACCTTCAGCATTTAGTAGTGAGTACACAATATGCCGTGAAATGACTGTGGATTGAATTATTTGTTTCTGTGTGTGTTTAGAGGGTTCAGGATGTGAAGTTCCTGTCGCTGAGATACTGGCTGCTGGTTCTTACCATCATGTTCTTCTACAACGGCATCTTCCCGTTCATTGCCGATGCCAGGTGGAGTTATCAGCACATAATTCATGCATATTACAATGCAGCGGCTTTTGAAGGGCTGTGTAGTGTTAAGGTTAGGATAAGAATGTCAATAACTGAAATTCCTTCAGGACAAAAAAATGTAAATCTTTTAGACATTTAGATGTTTAGTGACAGATGTTTTTAGTAAAAAAAAATACATCTGTATACAAAATAAAACCCTAGTACATGAACATGTTCACCTAAAGGCAGTTATATTTTAACATATTGCTGTATTTTTCTCATCCAGCAAGTTCATTCAGGATAAGTACAGTGATTACAGTCAGAAGGAGGCATCCTATATCGCTGGGGCGGTTTATGACAGCTCACTGGTCCTCTCAGCCAGCGTAGGCATTCTCATAGTAAGTATCTCAATCCTAAACATGTTACCTGTTCGTGCATTTTTCAAAACTCTGTCCTGTAAAGAAATATGAAGTTACGTTGACATAACACAGCATTTCCACATGTGTATGTTCTAGGATTATGTGGGTCTGAGGGGTATTTTCGCACTGGCCTGTGCTGTCCTCACACTGCCTGTGTTTGGACTCCTGGCCTTCACCTTCGTCCCTCCTCTGGTCTCCACCATATGGCTGGGAGTCACCTACTCCTTTGCTGCTGTGAGTGTGGCTAAAATCAAATTCTTAGATGTTATTGTTGACCTCGTATACTGTAAACTTTAATAATTAGTTGCTTGGTAAATAGGTAAAACATTATCTAGATAAGGAAAAGAAAATGAGAAATTTTTGGCTCTTTACAAATTATTTACACTTTGTTTTAATTAATTTTGCCATTACGAGCTATGTCTCTGTTATTTTATTAATTATTTTTTTCTTTCAGGCAAGCATGTGGCCATCTATTCCTCTTGTAGTACCCCAGGCAACTCTGGGCACAGCCATGGGCCTGGCCACCTCCATACAGATGGTTGGGATCGGGTTGTCCAATCTGGTTGTCGGACACATTTTAGGCACCAAGTCTAGGTAGGAAGTCTTTCAGATCAGGATCGCATTGCATTGCGCTGCAGTAATCCTGTACACACCGTGTGTAAAATGATTTCACTCACATTTTACGACACTGCATCTGGCAGCCATTTTTCGATCAACATACAGCATATATATATATATAGAAAAATAGTTTCACATTTATGGGCCGAAGCGCTATCTATCACTCACTCCAAGCTGTGCAGAGCTCACGTTATAACGACACAATAACAGTATGTTGTTATAATGACAAAATAGCCTACGGTACATTGTTAGAACATGAAAAAGATCATGTTTTAATGTGAAAGTATCTCAGAAAAATGAGCAAAGCATCTTGTTACAACAAGAAAATGTTCTCATTGTAATAAGACACAGAGCAGATCTACGCTGCCGTAGGCGGTTCTTATGCGTACTATGAAATATAATTCTGCAGGCGCCACTGTTGTGCTGTTGGGCCATGCTGTATTTTATATGTGTTTGCTTACCTGTACTGTTTTCTCTGTTTGTTGGCCAGTGAAACTAAGATTCCGTTGTGGCGTTGGCAGAGGATGATGATCTTCATGTTGGCCAACACCATCTGCTGCATCGTTACCTCAGTGCTCCTCAACATTGTCGACCACAGACAGGTCTGACATCTCACAGACTGCATGCCATTTTACATGTGTTCTGTGTGTGTCTTTTGTCAGCTGACTTTATCATAGCATACAGTGCGTTCAGGTGTTGTGTTTCTCTGCAGGGCGGGATCCTGAACAAGACAACCAAGAGGTCAGGGCAGGACTCAGACAGGGAGCCTCTCAACGAGGGAGAGCAAGAGCAAAATGAGGACGAGGATGATGGGACTGTCCGGTCTCATTCCATCAACTCATGAGTTTTTCATGTTACCACTTTCCCCAAGTTTGAACATTTCTCTCCCTCCTTTTGATACACAGTATTTTTGTACCAGTTTTGGCCAGATTCAGTTTACTGTGCACCTCACTGGAACCTTAATGGTTTAAAATAAATCCCTGTTAAACAGTATTTACACTCAAATAATATCTGTGTTATAGTAAGTATACTCTAAATATTTCAGGATTTTAAGTAATATGGGTAAAAAAGTAAAACTGTCATTTGAATTTTTGTTGTTGTTTTGTTTACTTGATCTGAAAGACATTTTGTCTGTTTTATCATCACTCAGCTGTGGATTGTTGATCTCTTACGCTGCCAAAACAGTAAAAATAAATCCTCGGATCTTCGCTGTTTGTCTGAATAAATAATATTCTTAGTGTGATGCATATGTTTACTTGGTACCGTCCAGTTGGTGGTGGATGGCAAGTAATTGTAGTTTCTGATTCATCACAGCCTTGTTTATTTTATTGGATGGGGCATTATACAGCCGATGAAATGTATGTATGATGACCCATAGTAGTCTGGTTTACATCATAATTACATCCAGTAGGTGGCGCTCCTTACATGTTTGTTTGCAAAGACTGAAATGCAGTTGGTGTAGTCAATGCAAAATTGTCAAGACACCTTATTCAGTAGGCATCCTTTCAGTTCTGTGGTTCCTCAGCATCATGATGTCAACAACTGCCAGAATGTAGACTATGTTTACCATAAATACATATAGATAAATACGGCAGTGTGGCATGCTTTTGATACATTTTCTCATATATAATTAGGATTTTTCCTCTGGAATATAATGAAATATTAAACATTGTTGACTTGGAATGGCCTGCACACACAATGTAAATATTCTGTGCTTCTGCATCATTTTTGCCAACATATATTCCTGTTTTGCTCATATTACCAGTAGAAGTTGTGGCATATACCAGCTGATATTGAATAAAATGCAGAAGCACATATTAATCCTCTAAAATGTTTTTGAAAACTGTCCAGTTAGACACATAATATTGCTGAATATAACTTTTATCACTCCCAATTAGAAAAAACGTGAATTTTTTTTATTTGTCCCAGAAGGATGAAAAGACAAGGTTGTAGCTCACTTTGTAATGTGTTCAATCAGATGTGTTGTTATAGAAAATATTACCTTGGAGACTGTTTTCAATCGACTTCAACATATTGTAAACCTCTGAAAGGGTTTTAGCAATGACATTCAATAAAGTATCAATTACAGGCTGTGTAAACTGATCTAGACTAAATGTCTGCTCTTTAATAATGTTGCAGTCGTCCAATACTTCAGTACTTTAAAAGATCCAGGTTCAAGATGCCAACTTCCTGTCCCTGACTCTGTGCCAGGTTAAATTTGGAGAGACCCCTGTTCTAAAGCCAAGCATTACTGAATAACACAGTAGATTATTACTGCTTGCAGTCAGGCTTATGAAACATTTTTGAAGATGAATTATTTTGTGTCCAGCTGGTCAGTCACAAAGTCTTACAGAGCAATTTAATACCTGACATTCAGTTGAAGGCCTTAACATCTTTAATGTTTGTTTTATGGTTTCTCACTTGCAGTCGGCGTGCAGGCTCAACTGTCTGGTCGAAAGCCTGGGTAGGATGAGCATGTCAAGCCTTCTCAGCCTCAGCAGCCTGGGCAGGATCTGCGGCTTCAGTCACAGCAATGACATGGTAGGTTTGGACCGGGTCAAGAGGCAAAACTCTGTCAGGCGCATGTCAATAATTTAAGATAGTGAAGTTGCAGAAGTTCTCTACCTTATTCCTAAACAGTCTATGATGGAGCAGCTGCCTTTCATCAACCCCGCTGACTGCATCCTGTGTGAAAAGCTGGCCGGTGTCACTGCATCCAGGTCAGGAAACAGGTAGTTTACTTCCTCATGTGGTTGCCATGTCTGATGTATATTATGATTATTCATTATGAACTATAATTTGGCAATAATTTGGAAAGAGAAAGAGTAAACTTGAAAAATCCTCTATCTTTTATGTACATATTTGAATAAGAGATGCAGAGAGTTGAGGATTATTGAATAATTCTGTGCTATTAGTTTTTTTATTTACAATAATTTTACATAGTAACAAGAAATCAAATTAATCATAATATTGCATGTGTACATGTTATATTATATCTACTAGTCAACTAGCTTTGCTGTTCATTGCCACAGGCTATCATGTCTGAAAAAACTGTCAAGGTTAAAAACCTTTTGGCAGTTACTATGTAATATAGACAATACTGCTCCCCCCGACATGTGAGTAATCCATGACTCATCTGGACTGGAAAGTTTAGAATTTACTGGGGAGACCTTTCTCTCTATAGTACATTTTCACACTTCAGGTCAATAAGGTTAAATGAGATTATTGACAAATGAACTGTCATATGCAGACGATGCTGCTGACTATGCAGACACCACACATACAGCAGCTTGTTAGCCACACTAACAAAGTGGCTAAAGTCATTTCTGAAAGCCAGAAATATCAGAAGCACATACAATAAAATATGAGGGCTTTTTTTGAGCAAAGAACAATAAGAACAAAGCTGTATCCACATTTGAAATTCCACCATCACTAGGCTGTCTAGGTGCAGTTTGTCTTCTATTATATTTCACTCAGAAATTATACATTTATTCAAACAAATGAAGCCAGTGATAAATATCTCATAAAAAGCCACAAAATTTCCTTTTAAACCTGTGGTTGAAGTGCACTGCAGTAAAAACCTATATCATTTAAATCCTTTCAGTGTGGATGGTTTAGAAGAATAAGAACAGTTAATGCCACTCCCGCTGTCCTCTCTGAGAGCACACACACACACACACACACACGCCTTCTGTGTGTCAGACCACCCCTTTCTCTTTGAACCAGCAGTCCAGTTAGTTCCACCCTGGTCCACTGCAGCGAGCGCTCCCACAGAAACCAAATGTCATGAAAGAGAAAGGTAGACATTTTTAAGTGTGTGTGTGTGTGTGTGTGTGTGTGTGTGTGTGTGTGTGTGTGTGTGTGTGTGTGATACAGGATGAGAAAGAAAGGACATGCCTGCTTGTGCATTGTTCTGTTGGTTTGTAGTATATACTTATGATTTGTTAGCAACTTGTTATTAACTATACTGGTTTTGTTGAGTTAGAAAGTCTCAGAGTTTCATCTATGGTTCAGTCTTTTTCCAAGGAAATGAACCAGATCAATGTGACAATCTTTTTTTTTTACTTCACACATTTGAATATTTCACATAGTCTATTATGTTGTGCTTGGAAAAATGTGGTTGCCAAGTTGTGAAAAGCACAGCTATTATGGCTAAGTGTATGGTTGGGTAAGAGCAGCATGGGACTTTTAGGAATGCTCCTGAATTAAGCAGTGTTTTGCTTTGAAATCTGACATTTCTCATCCTTACATCCTTACATATTCATTGCCATGGCTGTCTCTTGTGAACTGTTCACTGTACTTCCTTGACTTACAGCGGAATACATTACCAAGAAGGATAATATGCACATAATTCAAAAATACAGAAGTTATAACTAAAAACTTAAACATATGGCATAACTAAATACAGTTTGTAGCTCATGTAACGCACACATTAATATTCATTTTTCAAAAATGGTTTCATAGTAAAAGTAATCATGTGTATATTACCTCATTGAATGGTTAAAGTGATAGTCCTGGCTTACATTTCACTTCTTGTACTTAAATAAAAATAGCATCAAAATTTTAAAAATCTCAAGGAAAAAATCTGGATGCTTAAAGTTGCCACTCCACCCGTCCTTGTCTGTGCGTGTGCACATACACAGGTGCAGATTTTCATAGCTGGAGATAGCAGGCTGTGTGATTAGATGTCTGTCTCGGGTTTCTCTCCATTTCTAAATCTACCATTTGCTAATACTTGACACATATCAGCTTCACATTCTGGGAGAGATCATAACAGAAAGCTATTGTGGAGTCTTTTAAAATCTTCCCATCTGAGGATCTGAGCTACAGAAAAACAAGAAGTGAAAGCATAGTGCATTACAATACCACAAATATTATCACACATTGTTTTAAACAAACAACACAATAGCATAGCCTTTATTTGGTATTCATTTTTTTTAAATATTTCTGAACTGTAGCAGTAGTTCTGTGCCTGTGCCTTTCACCATGACAAGTGGATTGCATAAGTTTCTGTTGGCATCACAGATTTGTTATTAACAGATACTGTGGGTGTTCTAGGACAAAGGCCAGTTTGGCTGAGGTTTCAGTATTGTTGGAGTGCCCTGACTGAAAGGACAGATTATGTTTTTTTGTTAACATCTATACCAGAATTTAGCTTTAAAATGTGCTTGTACTTAAACAGAGACTGCATTTCTTTTCTTGCAATATGCATTCCTTATGTGCATGCTGTGGCTAGGTCAAATCCCAATCAACATGTGAATTTGACCTCTTACATATTGGATTTTCTATAACATATAGTGTCACATCAGTAAGGCTGTTCTACTGGCAGAAATAATCTCAGGATTTCAGCAAACATCTTTTTTATTGCATCCAGGCATGATGCAAACTTTAATCAAATCCTTTCTCTCTCAGTGTGACCAACAGTTGTAGTAGGCTGTACAGACTGTAAAGCTCCTTGAGGCAAATTTGTAGTTTATGATATTTGGATATATAAATAAAACTTAATTTGTAATGTCACACTGCTTTTTGGGAATTACAAATAAGGTTATTGAACACTTTTTTATGACTAACATTGCATTTGTTATCACCACAACCGTGCATAATGTCAATCAACAAGATGGCTGAAATGAAATACAGTAAGCTATATTAACCTTCAGGAGGCATGGTCTAGTTTGTTACCACTTAGTAACAAGTCTCTCCTGTAGCAGAGCAGACCTGGGACCACATACCAGTGATGCTTGATTCAGCTTTCTCCTGTCTCTCCTCTGCTAATCACATTCAAGACCCTTCAAGTGTTCAAGTGGGCTGTGATTAGATTGTACAGGCATCCGCTGCTTCTGCTGCTATACAAGCACCAAGGAGACAGAAGGAGAAGGAATGGGGTTGAGTGTTTGTTCTCAAAGCCAACTTTTTCTCATTTGGGGTTGTAGGCAAATGTAACATTTTGCATCAGAGTTCACCTTCTGTCCTGTGACGAAAACCTCAAGATTGTGTTAGCTTAGCAGTTAGAAATAAATGGCAGTGTGCTAATGATTACTCTCTAATTTGACCTTTAATTAGTATCAAATTATATGCTTCCTCCCAGGAAATTTTCTGGGAAATAAGAAAATGTCTTAGAAAAATTTGAAATAAACAGTAATTTACTGACCTGTAAAATAAAGACTTAACAGATTCATTTATTTCTTTATTCCTGTAGCGCTACATGCTGAGGATGGCTGCCGCCCTTGTCCTCCGGTGGGGAAGAAGGTCATCCAGTGCTTCAGATGTGGGGAGCCATGCAAAGGAGAGGTGCTGCGAGTCCACAGCAGCCACTTCCACATTAAGTGTTTTACCTGCAAAGGTGAATAACAGATGTTAATGTGAGCAGGTGGGAGTGCACTCATGGAGTGTTCTATAATCACAACTCAATCAGAATAGACTTTATACCTTCTTAAGCAAGCTCCGTGGTAGAGTCCCTGTAGGTGTCTAAATGTGAACATTTGGAAAACTTGAGAGTGAATCAGTGAGCAGAGGTCCTCGTGCACAGTGAAGATACAGTATATCAGTGGCTGTCTTGAACACGTTAGAATGAATTCCATTTGCTCCAAACCACTTATTGAAACAATCCTGCTTTGAGGCTTATTAATGCATTCTAGGCTGGTGATAGGGTTTGGTTTTAAATTAGGAATTTAAAGTCTGAAATTTCCAGAGTGAAAATTCCAATTTGACGTAAAAACATGAACATTTGACCCTTTACGTTGCATTGAAGCACCTTAATTTCATCAAGTTAGTTTTAAATTTGAGCAAAATTTGCTGATCGCTCATTCGTCAGGTAATGTCAAATTCATTTGGTTATGAAACATTGTGCATCTACAGTGGGCTGGTGTGAGAACCCCCTGGGTTGTCAGATGGTCATTAACCACAGTAACACTGCCAAAACATATTGGCTATTGTCCTTGTTAATTGATACTGACAAGCCTCTAATGTTGTTGCCCTTTCATTGCACTGTGATAGTGTTTACAGCACCGAGAAAACAAAGATTCTTTCAGAGCAGAGAACCTTTAGTGTTTTAATAATGGGAAAACCAAAGGCGGCTGTGGGCAGCTCTGATAGTAAATTTGCTTTAAAGTGGTTTACTATGAACTGAATACATCTGAATTGAGATAAGCCACATGCAAACATTTGAAAGGATTTGGTGGGTTCTCTTTGTGATTAATGAAACTTTTTAAGGTAAATGTATGGCACAGAAAGAAAGGGAATATCAACTGTCAAAATGATAATATATTAATAGTAATATTAAAGTACAACACTCACTTCATACATTTTAAAATAATTTACATGAAATTACAAATTATGAAACTGTTATGTGCCGTTCGAAAGAGGCGGACCCAGGTAGCCGACTTCAGTGCAAGCAGTGATTTATTATATACAGTGATGAAGGGAGTAACAATACACAGAGGGAAATGATACGTAGTCCTGTAGATGAGTTGTAACCGGGTGTTTGACCAACAGTAGGAGGTGAGGAGATGGAGAGCTGGGCCGAGCTGCGTAGGCTGGGTCACTCCTGGGCTGGTCGGTGGTGATGGTGGTTACTGAAGGTGGAGACAGAGAGATGAAGGCAATAGTGGAACAGATAGGCGACTGAGCATTGACCTGCCTGGGAGGGAAGAGTGGAGCCACGGTCTGGAGGAACAGTCCATGGGGAGAACACAAAACAGTAGCTGGCTAGGGGATAAATACAAACAAGAAACGAAAAGGCACAGAGAAAAAATTGCCTAGAGACTAGAACGAACTGGCAAGTGACTGAGGAGTGAAACCGGGTAATATAGTGAGCAACCTAATCAAGTGCAGCTGGTGATAAGGGAGTGAGGAACAGGTGAACGTGATTAGTGTAAATGGGCAAGAGACAGTAGGAAAGGTGAGGGAGGCCAGAGCGGCCCAGCAAACCTGACAGAAACGATCTCTAGACTCAGATGAATATTTGTCCATGTTTTATTCAGTATTCTTTAAAACAAAACTCACGTATACAGTGAGTTACTCACAGCACAACAGGAATAGGGGAGAATATATCTGTCCTTGGCAGGTTCAGAGGGACGGTACTAGAAATGGGCTGCAGGTATCAAATAACAAACAGAGAAAACATTACATCCTGTCAGCAACTTGTCACTGAGCTGATTAGCATGCACACATACAGACACACACAAGTGCAGACAGACGTGTACACACACACTCAGATGCATGCAAACACATGAACACTTCAGAAAGCCTGGCGGAATCGTAACGTCAGACAACTCAAATAGAATTCAGCTCATCTCTTTAATGGTTTATTGTTACAACAGCTTGAAAGAAGGACACACATTAAACTCTGAATGCAACTCTGACAAAAAACATGTACAGTGTAAGCAAACCAACAGCATAAAGCCAAAGAAAAAAGGCAAGTCAAAGTTTATTTATTTAGCTCAATATCACTAATCAGAGGCAAAACAGTCACACCTAGAGGGAAAGTTAATAAAACCATCAGAAAGAGTGAGGACAAATATATCAAGAACTGACAAACGACTTTACTCCACTGACCCAGAGTTAATGAAAGTTTTCTGTTGTGATCAAACCTTGTCATCTCTATCTGCCTGTATGAATGTGTGTCTTTGCGCAGTGTGTGGCTGTGACTTGGCTCAGAGTGGCTTCTTCACAAAGAACGGCGACTACCTCTGCCCGCTGGACTTCCACAGACTTCACGGCACAATCTGCAACAGCTGTGGGGAGTTTGTGAAGGAAGAGGTGGTCACAGTCTTGGGGAAGACCTACCACTCAGCCTGTTTTGTGTGCACCATTTGCAAGTAATTATTAAAATTATGGGAGATGTATTTATGACAAAAAGAGGAGAAAGCAGGAAAAACCCTTTATTATGTAGCATCTGTTTTGTTCTTTGTTCCCAGACAGCCTTTTTCTACGGGGAATTGCGTTACCTTCAGCGGTAAAGACCGTCTCTGTCAGCGGTGTTTTCAACCTGTGTCTCCTACTGCTAACAACTTCAGCTATACTAGTAGTGAGTACAGTCATGTGTTATCTACTCTCTAAGCAAAAACAGTTGATCTAGTGTTCATCTGAAAGCAATTTATTAATGAAGTCTTAAAACATATCAAAGACTCTTATCCCTTGCAGACCTAATCAGACAGGGGATGATGCACTGAACACTGGCAGCTGTGACTCCTCCACCAGCTGCATTTAGTTTATCTTGTGCGGAAGAGTCACTCAGAGTCATTGCCAGACCTATCTGCCACCTTGATCATAAACAGACGAAATCTTTATACTAGTGTGCATTCCTTCTTTGTGTTTTGAGGATCAGCTCTTGATTGACATCATCAGGACAAAAGCATAAATGTTAAACATCATCATGACTGTGGACCTGACAACATTCATGTTCAGCTTTCATCCAAGAGATTACTTGTAATGTCTTTATGAGGAATGCAGGCTAGCCAGCATCCCTAATTCCAATATAACCTCCTCAAAGTATACTGGATATTTTTTCCCAACACTATGAGTTAATATTACTTTAAAAATCCAATCATTTTTCTGGGATCCTGGCCAGTGACTTGTTATGGACTAAAAGATACAGTAGACTTTCCACCTTGACCTTATCCACCCAGCTACAGAAGGAATTAATAGATGATCCCGACTCACAAGACCTCTGGCTTAAAAATCTACAGGAAACAACACGTATGTAATTCTCAAAGAGTTGTATAATGTGTGTGTTTTCAGACTGCGCTGGCTGTGGTAGAGACATAAAGAATGGCCAGGCTCTATTAGCCCTGGGTGGCCAGTGGCACCTTGGCTGTTTCAAGTGCAGAGCCTGCAGGAAAGTACTGAGTGGAGAATACATCAGCAAGTAAATACATATCTCTCCGTCACAACTTTTTTTTCCATGAGCTTGTCTCTACCTTGCCTATGTTTCATGAAGCACAGTGGAAAATACCTTTTAATATTTTGTGTGTGTTTCACCTAACAAGAATTAAAATTTATGCTAGCGTCCATCATAACAAATACTCTGATAAGAATATGTGTTTTGTTTTTAAGGGATGGTGTTCCTTATTGTGAGAGGGACTACCAGATTCAGTTTGGGGTACGATGTGAAGCATGTCAGAAGTATATAACAGGAAAGATCCTTGAGGTAAGAAGAGTGTATTTTAGTAAAGTGTACGCTCCTGATTTGATCTATCGCTTGTGACTCAAAAACATTTTGGTTGTAACGTAGTGAAATCCTGACAGTGAATTTAATTAAACCACATTTAAGTCACTGAGAGTTTCCACGGACTAGGCACATACATGTTGGTCTTCTATTTCTGCCAAGAGTATTATGTTAATTTTTGTTCCTAGTAATAGGGCCTAATTCTGGTGCCTTTCTCATTGTCTGTTAAAGGCAGGGGACAAACATTATCATCCCAGCTGTGCCAGATGCAGCCGGTGTGACAGAGTGTTCACAGAAGGAGAAGAACTGTATCTCCAAGGTCAGTGTGAGAAAGGGACTTCAGTATGAGGAGATACTGTGCAAGCATTCATGGTGGATTTCTGCTTGGGTGAATGCGAGCACTGAAAATGTTTGTATGAGGCATTGTGAATGTGAACTATGCATTTTTTGACAAGGTATTTTTTCAAAACCTGTCTGTGCCTTCACAGGATTGACAGTTTGGCACCCAGACTGCAGGTACAGGGTAAGATCCCTCCAAAAGAAAACTGTTCTGTGTGGAGTGTAAATAAATATAAGTTAGATGCAACAATGAGCCTTCAAAGCTTTATACCAATTCATTTTCAACATGATAAAATACAGTCTGAGATATCTCCAAGTTACTGTCCTCTATGATAATGACTATTAACTGTACAACCCGATTCTCTTTCTTCCAGGTCAGCAAACCACAAACTCCTTGTCTTGATTTCTTTTTCCCCCCACATGAACTGAAGGTTAATATTAAGAGCAGGCTTGTGGTTTGTACTAATGGTTGTCTAGAGTGAGCAGGCTGTAACTTCATAGCCTGAGATCATTTGCACTGGTTTGTTCTACATGCAGCATCGGTGTTCCTAATATTCTGACTACTAGGCTACTATGCACTACACAACATAAGCATGTATAAAAGGGAAAGTGGTCCAGATGTGAGCACTAAATTGGTTGTGCATGGAAAAAGAATATTGAGAAAATAGATTAGAAAGCAGCTGGATGCCAATACAAAAGCTGAAACAAAAAGTGCTGTTTCACATGTGTTGCTGTTTTGTTTAGTGCCCTAGATCCTCATCCGAAAGCTCCTGTTCCAGGTCAGACTCGTGCACTCCAGGAAGCCCTGGTCGAACTATCTGTGTAAGTTCTGATGACAACATCTGCTCAGCCATGGTGGGATGTTTTACATTTTATTTATGGCTTTATTTATACAGGGGAGTTGCATGGACAAAGTTTCTCACTTGCAGGATATTTCTTTTTGACAGTAAATGATGATAAATATTTAAGAAAATACCATATATAAGGGACATTTTAAGAATGTCAAAATAAGTTTCTCCATAAATGTTCACATTTTACCTTAACTGATCAGAACTAGTTTCATCTTGCCTATGAAAGAAAAATGTGATTTCATTTGAGGTTGAATGATAAAGGGCCTATGCTCATGTTTTATTCTCAGTTCAACAATTAAATTAATATACAGAGAAAAATCTGCCACATATTGATCAGAAAATTTTGATTTATTTGCTCAATCAATTTGAATGTGCTGGCAACTCAGATTGATTTTGGTTGTAAAAACAACATGATGCTTTCAGTGTCTTTTTGTTTCCTTCACCCAGTCTGTTATTATCCATGATTACTCTGTTGGTTTATTGTATGGAATAAACTTTAAGCCAATCAAGTCAGCATGGAATATGCAACAATAATTTACTTTTTTTTTTATATGTATGATATGAGAAATTATTTATATAGTGAAACAGAAACAGGTCCTTCAGGAGATGATCATTTTACTGAAAAATACAACGTGCTCAGTTCATGTGCCAAAGTCAGACCATCGTGGTGTTGTGGGATTAAAGTTTCATTCCGTTAGAAGCGCCCCCACGACATTTCAGCTGACTTTGTGTCCTTCTCCTCACCCCATCCTCCCTTCTCCTCCCTGTCCTGTTCCCAGGCAAAAGTAGATAATGAGATCCTTGACTACCGAGACTTAGCAGCAATTCCCAGAGTCAAGGCTATATATGATATAGAGCATCCTGATATGATATCCTATAAGTCTGGGAATGACAGCTCCTCTACTTTGGGCAGCAAAGGCAACAAACAGGACAGCCCTACAGAGGTAATGTACTTCAGTTGTCCAAGTATATTTACAGACTAAATAATATTATACATATTTTCTGCTTTTAAATATTTTTAATACATAGTTAAGATGAGATCTGGGTTGATGTTTATCTGAGCAGTGAATGTTTTCACCTGAAGTTACAGTAAGTTGTGTTTCTTCTGGTTAACATGCATGTATAATTCTGTTAATAAACAGTATACTTTTTCTGTCTTTCTGGTTTAGTCACAAGGAAACATATCTGAAGCCACAGAGGTAAATACTGTCATTTTATCAGCTTTACACAATTAAGGTCACATGCAGTATGTATGTATATACAGTAAGTATTTAACGCTCACTGATTTGTTGTCTATTTTACATTTTTTCTTGCCTCTTTCGAGGAGAGTTTTGAAATGAGAACGCGCACACCACATGCTACTAGCCAGGGATCTTTTGGAGTTCATGCAGTGTACAGTTGTCACAGCTACACACCAACTCTGTCCAGATCCCCACAGCACTTTCACCGACCAGGTGACAAACAGCACTCAAAAGTCTTTTTATTTATTCTTACCATCTTTGTAAATATATTAATGCCCCCTGCTCACTTTTTCTCTCATGCACCATCTTCCCTCATCTCCCACCTCCACGACTCCTTCTTTCATTTCTTTCATGGAATTAAAAGCAGGAACGAAGCTTTGTCACTCTTTATTATCTGACCACAATGACAGTTGCCCTACTTCCCTTTTATGTCACCGCTTTCTCCCTCACACCAAAGGTAAGAATCATCCCTCTCCATCCCATCTCCCATCCTGGCTTTGCGTCTCCTTCTCTGTCTTATATATTTCCTATTAAATACTTATATTTAATGGCAAATCATCTATTTTATTTAAAAAAAATTTTACTTGTTACTGTTTTGACAAAGCCTAAAACAGTAACAAGCTGGATTCACTTTTAAGTGTCAGGGGCTGGCACATGGCACAAGGCATGTGATTTACATTTGTTTCTTAGACACATTGAGCCATCTAGTGGTCAGAGGTCAGAGAGGGTGTCAGTAGCCCTCTTCAGCTTTACTCAAGGAGACTGTACAAAGGTTTGTGCCCCCTGACGGAAACAATACACCTTAGAAAACCTAGCTGCTTCTTTAACAAACCCCCACCACCCCCACATTGCATCATTTCTTTCTTTCTTTTGTCTGGTTTGATTGATTAAATAAATAAATATTCTTCTGCTTGCTTCAAACTTCAACCACACATTCCTCTACAGCCGAGCCTATTTATAGCAGTGCTGCAGTTTTTTAAGCCCATTTTTTACCGTGTGTGGGTGACACAAGCTTGGACTAGCAATCACTGGAATCTGTTTTTGTTGGGAAGTGAAGATCACTCACAACGCATTGCCAACCCACGGGGCTTTGACGTCCACAGTAAAGAGCAGTGTGTCATTTTATTTAGTCTTCAGTCAGTTGATTTGAAACGTTAGACCTTTAGAATAATGACTTTGAAATGCCGCAATAAAAAAAATTACTACACTTCCATATTTATAAATCTACTGTAAATGCATTGTGTGGATATTATAGCATCAAAACTTTTCATGTCTGGCCAGCGTAACTTAAAAGTAACCTTTTTTTTATTGAAAAGGACAAAGGAGTGATTTGGCAAGTAGCTGTCAGAAGGAGACAGAAAGGGTCACAACATACTATTTTTAAAAAGTACTTTTTAATTAACCACTGCTTTCCTTTCTGTCCACAGATGAAAGCTTCAACATGTATAGACGACTTCCAATTTATAAACAGCAAGGTACAGTAGGACCATTTCATCTTTCATATGAATGATGCTTGAAGCTGTTAAAAATTACTTGTAGAACTACGGATTGTGTTCTTTGTCTTGCTCTTTTATAGAGCATATATTTGTATTTTTGTACCTTGTTATAACACTGATTTATTCTCATTCTACTTACTTCGCTCATATGTAAGGCCAGTCAAACATAATTATGAATGACTCTGCAGACTGTTTAAAGGTGAGATTATGAGAAATGTTGTATGGACAATAAACATGGAAAACATAAAATACAGCAGTTCTCAGAAGTATGTTTTACAGGACAATTAAGAAAGCTGAGGAAAGAACCTGGCAGGGTGTGTTTTACCCAATAAGTCTGTTCTAATTTGGGAAAATGGCTAACTCTCGTTTCTCTGCTTTTTCATTTTCACATAGATACACACTCCTCCTCAACCCAAACATCCTCTTTGCCCAGATATGGTCACAATGGCCTCAATCCAGTAAGATCCATTAAGTGACATTGCATTGATTTAGTGTGCTAAAGTTGGAAGAAATATACTGTATATCATTTTAGAGTAGGTAAAAACATGGTGTTCAGACAGCTGCCAGGATTAGATTAGATTCATATTTGACTCTGAACAACACAAATATCTGATTTGCTATGTCTAAAAATAATTGTAAAAATAAAAAGAAATGTTTTAATGTGTTTGTCTCACATTAAGACACAATCAGCTGATTTCTCCCACTACAACAGTGACAGATTTAGAGGTAAGTAGGGAATGTATACATCATTATTATACAGTATATCATGAACATTGGCAGTCATTTCAATATTAAATTAGGGGATGATTGCTTTTCCATTTCCTGTCCCTTTCAGATTTTAAGGTAGGTGAAAGGACCTGAATGGAGTTTTGT